GGCGAGCAGTGGCTTTTTCACCCCGCAGATCTCAAGCCTAGGGGTGCACAGGGTGGCTGCCCCAACGGTTAGCGCCCTGGTGTCCCTGTCCTCTCCTCCAGCCGCCAGCCGGGGGGCACGGGCCATATCGACTTCAGGCAAATGTTGCTCAGGAAGGCGCTTCTACTTGGAAGTCTGCCTTTCGCGGGTGCTGTGCAGATGGTCTCAGATTTACAATAAAGAGAGAGTCACTGGGCAGAGTCTCACCACCAGCAGCGCTAAGCAGCTGGTTTTTATTGAACTAGGGTACACCTTTTCTAGAGCAAGGTGTGGTGACACATGCATGAACAAAAGGGGGGCAGTGGGTGTTTCTGCTTTAGCCGCAGTTTCAGATTTTTGCCTCCCTGTCCCCCATCCCCAGCCCTTAGGGGAGTGCTCCCGTTCCCCTGTGTTCAGAGGCAGTGAGGAATGGGTTCATATCTGATCTACGTGGGCATTTATGCCCCAGGTCCGAGTGCCAAGGACCTGTGAGGCACACAGCGCAAGGAACAGCCACCTCTGCTGACACCGCACAGATGGCATCTCATTTGATACTCAGCACGGGTGTTAGTTAACCACGGGCCATGAAAGGGAAGCAGAGCATTTTAAAGTAACCGTCCCTAAATGACAGGGCTGGGATCTAAAGCCAAGTCTTGTTTACCGCTAAGGGCTTTCCACTGAAAGCTCTCTTCTTCACTGTGCTGGTGCCGGGCCTCACTTCCTTCACAGGATAGTTGTGTCCCTCTTTATAGAGAAGGAAACTGAGGCACAGAAAGGGTTAAGTGATGGCCACGTTAGCTGTTGAGTCAGAATTGGAATCCAGGTCTCCCTGCTCCCGGTTCATATATCATCCGATTTCACGGTCTCTGAAAGTTCCTATGAAAACAAGGTTGGCGACACCTGAGAAGGATCTTTAAGCATCTGCCCCTCCCCGCACCCCAGCATAACAAAATAGAGAAAAAGCAGGACGTGTAATCCTTGTTTTAGTGACAATTGTCATATCTTATTGAAGCATGTGAAAGTACAATCCAAGTCACTGACTGATGAAAAGTAGCTCTATGAAGAATGAAATGGTGTGGTTTTGAAGTCTTAACTCTTTTTTATGTAAGAGGTAATGAAAAAGCAAGCTGAAGCCTTTCTCCTCGACACTCTCGTGTGTTGGTTTGAAATTCAGCATGAATATAAAAGGAAGCTATGAGAATACTGAAAACGTGTCTCTTTACTGCGCAGCTGAGAAGGGAGGATGAGGGGGCAGGTTGGAAATCTTGTAAATTTCCCATCAAACATGCGTTCTGTCGATTAGTTATAAAATCCAAGGGAATATTCGTTCATTTATTTCTGGTCTTTTGTTCACCGTGTTGTGTAATCTGTGTCTCACTGAAGTTAGACCAGTTTTTCAACTCTATGCTGCTACCCTTCATGGTTTGCACAACTTGGAGGGTGAGATGTTGTGTAATACGTTAAGCACTAATCAAGGAGAAAAGATACCAGACGTGAGGGGGAATGATGAGTGCTGTCTGAGGTGTCTAGATTCAAAGGTAACATTCAGGATTTGGGAATCATGTGTTTGTCATC